TTTGTTTTCTTTTCTAGACAGGGTTTCTCCTGGAATTCACTTCGTAGACCAGGCTGGCCTTGAACTCATAGAGATCTGTCTGCCTCTGCTTCCCAAGTGCTGGGATTAAATGCCTGAGCCATCAAACTCAGCTCAAGATTATTGTTATACTGACCAGCTTTGTCAACTTTGAATCCTTGAAGAGAGTAAAGCTCCTCTTTGTAGCTTTTCTGCTGTAAAAACATAACCTTAGTCTCACCGTGTAACAACAGATGTGCCTGAGTTATAGCTGCTTATTCTACAGAATGTCCAAGTGTCACATACAGGAAAGGCTGAGGAACTTTCCTAGACTAAATGTATTCTATGGCCTGTGTGATATTCTGACCAGCTGACTGAAGAAGAAGCACTCAAGCCTAATCAACAGATGCACCTGACACCACATGGTCTCATACAGTTCGGCAAACCCATCCAGAAGTGATCATGAATGAGAGCTAAGAAGGAAGATTTTCCCATTGTTAACACTTGGAGCAATTCCTAGTCTGATTTTTTTCTGGGTGAAGGGCCTGGAGTAAATGTCTAGGTTAATTTGTGAGCAGCCACTAAAAAGCTCCATGGATGGCCAGAAAGGCAAAGATTGGAGGCAAGAGTATCTAGGGAAGAGTTACATGAATGGACTTTTAAGAATAGGGACAACCTATAAACATTCCTGTAACAAACAATGAATGACTCCATGGAGAGCCATGGAACCTGGTTGTTTTGTGATCCTTATGCTGCCAACCAAAGGCATAAAAATGGATCACTGTACTGCATATGATTGGAATCTGATTATCAGGGGTGATAGGGTGATTGCCATCACTGGAGAATCAAGGAGGACTCTATGCAACCCATGGGTTCTGTGAAATGCCTCTTAGTTTTCCCATGCTCAGTGATGAAGACCAATTAAAAACATAGCAGCCAAAACAATAAAAAAAGATCTCCTGGTTCTGTGAAGAGCTTTGGCCTGATTGCACCTTTTAGTGTTCCTTACTCAGAGAACATGCTATCCCTGCAGACCAGGGCTGCTTGCAATCTCTGCTGAGTCTCTTTGCCACCTTAGCTTGAAACTTTGAGTGTCTCCAATGTTGTCTTCAAATAGGTATTTATCTCAGTCTTCAGCATTTGGGGGCATTATAAATTGTCTAAACCCTGGGTGCTACATCAATGTAACAGATAGAGCCCATCATCCAAATGTACCATTCTCTGTAGTTAGCACACTGTATGTTTAACAGACCTCTGTTTACTCTTCCAGTCTAGAGCTGTAATCCTTTACCTTCCCTGAGTGCTAAGTGGCTCCTTTTCTCTATTCAACTTCATTTTACCTTAGGCTTGAACATTTGTCTTCTTTTATTCCTTCCTATTTTAGGCAAAACATTTTTGAGTGGTAAGTTTATAGAATGTGGATAATTTTGTGTGTGTGGATAATTATTATCAATTTATTTTTTCAGATTATGATTTAGAAACAGCGTAGTATGTTTGGTTATTCCTTCTGTTACTATAACAGGACAATGATAAAGTATATAATTTTACAGGTAAACCCTTTGGAGTGTTTAAAAACAATACACCTATTTATAGAGTAACTTGCCCCAGAGGTTTTGTGAAGATGTATGCTTTAATCTACACTTTTTCTTCTTCCAGTAATTTTTCAATATCTTGTTTCAAAGATGTGGAAACTGAGGTCTAACAAAGGTAAACAGCTCATCTAAAATTGTAAGCCAGGGGTCGGGGACAAGCCTGGGATTGCAAGGTTCCCCCACCCCAGTCTTAACTTTTTGTATGGTTGATTTAGAAAGATCTGACTCACTCAGAATCTAAATAAAATATGAAGGTTTATTCTTCAGCTTCTCTTCAGATTTGAAGGAGTTCTAATTTTAGATGCTAACTGAACTGCCTAGAATGGAAGCCTGCATCCCAAGACCTTAGCTAAATGGTTCCTACACAGTTCTTATTTATAGTCTGTGCAATTCTCCCCAATAATAGGTTGCTCGCTATGCGTAAAGCATGGTCTTGGGAGATAACAATTATGTTTAATAAATTAGACACAAATTAATATGCTAACTTAACATAAAACAGACCCATGAACATTTATTAATAGATTGCAGCAACACATCCCACTGAGTCCTAGAATAGTCCGTCCTAACAAATGCTGGTTAATGAATTAGTCAATGAAGATGACATTAGAGGTGCTAAATTTCACTGTGGTGAATGGCTCAATATTATTCAAGGAAATATTCTTTTATTGTTTTTTGTTTCATATATATATATATATTTCCTATATGATCTCATCAAATCTCATAGTTTACTGAACACAGTATCTCTTTACAAATTAATTCCAAATTGATTCACCAAGCTGGACCTCTGTTCCAACATTCAGACCTTACTTCGACTGAACTGCTTAAATAGATGTCACTGCTGACATTCTGTATCCCAAGTGAGCTTATCACATGACCCCCATCCTGTTCCTCACATTCCCTTCCCTAGCAAAGTTAATGGCAACCCCATTTTTCCAGGTACTTAGGTCTGTAGAAACTGACCTATGCATGGCAGTCCACGAGTAAAGTTGACTGATCAATCCCCTTTTTAATGAGTAGCTAGCATATGACATCTTCAGCACCTCCAAAGACTGCCATCTGCTCCCCACAAACATCTTTCTCCATGACACCACTTCCAGAAGCAGGGTTATCTGCTTGTGGCCGAGCACGGGAATGGGTGTACCCATGCACTTGCCTGCAAGTAGATGCATGTGGAAGCCAGAAGTCAATGTTGTGACTCCCTCTATTGTGCTCCTCCTTATCTTTTTGGAAAGGGACCACTTGAAGAATTCAGGTTTCAAGCTGTATCTGCTAGACTGGCTGACAGTGAGCCCCTGGGACCCACCTGTCCCTCCCACTATGCTAGTCTTCCAGTTTTGCTTCACCATGTTCAGCTTTGTGCATAGCTGGAGATACAAACCCAGGCCCTCACAGCAAGGGCTGTACCCAGGCCCCATGACTATCCTCCTTGATAGATACTGTAAAAGTCCCCTAACTGGTTTCTTTCTCCACTCGTGCCCTTGTCCCTGTTATAGTCTATTGTCAAAATAGCAGAACAAACCCATAGATAGGTAAGTCAGAGAATACTAGAACTCTGGGTCAATTGGCTTCCCACCTCTTTTGAAAAAAAAGGATGGGGTCTTTCTGGTTATTTAAGACCCCTGAAATCTGGCCATATCTCTTCTGCCCCACCCCATTCCCACTATATGATAGCCATATTGGCTTCCTTGCTATTCTGCTAGTCTTATACCCATATTCCCTACATTCCATTTCTTGTTTTCTCAGTTAGGATTTTGGCTCCAGATAAATCTGGATATATCTGCCTGGCTCTTCCCTGCAGTTTTCTTCTTAATGTCATCACAGTGAAGCCTTTCCTGAGAGCCATATCTAAAATTACAATTCCTCCCTCCACTTGGTGACTTGGGGATGTGTAATATGCACACACAATTAATCCTGCTGCCCTTTGCTGCTGTTTCTTCTTCCACATGTAAATGCTACACGACTCATAACATAGTTACTGACTTAACTGGTTTGCCATTGGTTCTTAACTAGAATGTCTACATCACCAAGGCTGTTTTTATGTGAACTGCTGTCTTCCCAGACCTAACCCAGCAATGCTCAGATCCCTGGGTAATGGACAGTGTACAATTTCTCCTACTCATGTCAGAGCTGCAACCTGGCTCCCCAAGTCTTTGGGTGGAGAAAAATTGTTTTGGGCATTAGTGGTTCCTTGGTTCAAATCAATGTGTGTTAGTACAATACTTGGTGGAGGTCAGTCAGTCCCTCGAGTCTGGCTGAAATGCTTTGTTGGGAACTTATTTCACTGTGGAATGTCAAGGAACCCAGAAGAGAAAAGGACTCTTAGAACAGATTAGACACAGCATTCCACTGGTGTCTGCCAACAACTGCCCTGTGATGTGTGCTTTTGACAGCTTATCAGGGTCAGTGTGTACCCTGACATGGTTTAACCAATATACCTATTATTTAATACAGCAGGACTGTGTCACAGGGTCAGGTCCACTATTGGACTGGTTCAGCTATAGTCACCCCTACCCCCAACATGGAGCTACCTTAGAGTTGAGCTTGCCTGGAACCAATTGCCTGGCTCCCTGAGGCCCCTGCCTATAGAATTTCATCTTGTAGCAGTTAATCCAGGGCTATGTGCTTACTACTTTGAAAAAGTGTTTTAAGGAAAGTGTTATTTTTTTCTCTCAGAAATGTCAACTCTACAATATCCAAAAAACAACAGTAGGGCTTAGGTTAGGCCTAAGGATCCCAAAGAGGGAGGAATAAAACCCAAGGACCCTGAAGTAATGACTCGGTTAGCAAAGGCATATTTCTTGCTGTCTCTGTGTGTTTGGGGGTGCTCCAGTTCTAAGAAATCCCATAAAAATGTCTTACTTTCCAAAACGATGGCTTCCAGAGGTGGGGTCAAAAGAGATGATGTGGGGGTCTCAGATACAGGACTTTTTTACCCTTATAAAAAGTCAGGGTGGTGGTAGAGAGTGGGGAAGTTGGGAGACAGCTCCTCTGCTGGTCCCAGGAAGGACGTGTTTATGGGAAAGGATCCCCAAACAACAAATCAGCATGTCCAGTTCTTGGACTTCCAGTCTTAGAATTGCCGGAAAAAAATTGTGATTAAAAGCTGGAGTCTGTGGCATTTTCTTAAAGCATCCTTGTACCGTTTCTGTACGGCTGTCTTCTAGACCATACCTAGGTGGGTACATTTAACATGCCCTGTGGTCTATGATGAATAGGCACAGTTGGCCACTGTCCTAGTTCCCAGCTGAGATTATAGAGGCTTAGGGAAATAAACCACCTAAGTCAGGGCCTGGGGAGAAGCTAAGCAGAATTGGAACCCAGACCTGAGTCTGAGCTTTTAGCTTATGGTTTACTTAAGAAATCAAAGGCCATGAGGTTGCGGGTCTGCTCTGGGCGCAGCGGGTAGGTCACCTGGGGTTGTATTGGAATTGTTCAATAGCCCCATCGAGGGTCTCGAGAATCTTCCGGCATCCTTGGATCTTCAGCCTGCCCTCCAGGTTCTCAATGTCAGACTCTGCCATGCCCTCTGGGCTGTTTGCCTGTGGTCACCACCTAACTGCTCTCTTTGAGCTCTGACAGTCTGCATCCCAAAGCTAGCGACCGTTGCTATGGCGACTCCCAGAGAAACCTGAGAGGATGGGTGTGGATTGGGGGCGGGGCGGAGAGCGAGAGGCGGTGGGGTGTGTGACGTGCGTGCGGGGTGGGCTCCGGAGGTGACCCTCTGTCCCGCCATGCCACCTGCCCTGACGCCCACAACCCAACCCGCTCCTAAAATGTCTTCAAGCAACTCTGCACCCTGTAAATAACTCTGCTGCGGCCCACACGCCTCCGGACCCTTTCTGTTTCCTTCACCCCCAAGGCTCTGAGCTCAGTCTTCTTCCTGGTAGGACTTCAATTTTCTACATCAACGCCCCTCCCACGTGCCTGTCAGACCTGAGGCTTGTTCTCTTTTGCTTGGCCTGCTACCAAGTGTCACCTTCTGAAGGATGGAAAGTAGTAACCCCATTTTTTGACTATGTTCATGACTGTCAGCATGATAAATACTGACAGATAAAAAACACACACTAGGACTGTTGCTGAGTAAAGATTTTCTTTGCAATGATTAAACAGGCCTACATCCTTATTTAATATAAAGGTCAGAATGTAAGGCATGGCATTTTACACTATACCATGTGGTGTGGAATTCAACTCACTATCTACCATTATTAAGAGAAGCTATTTTAAGTGGTGAAACTATCATTCATTCTCAACTGTCATGACATCTGACAAGGGACACTTAAGCTCAGGGTGTCATCACTTTGTTTTAGAACTAAGTGTTCTTCATCTTCATTTCACCATATTGTCTGCAGAGGATACTGGCTTTTCTCTTCCTTCTCCTTCTCCCTTCTATTAGCTTGGTGTTAGGAGTACACAACAGAGAAAGAAATTCACTGTAGCATTTTCATTATCTTTAATTTTTTAAAAGTGTGTGTGTGTGTGTGTGTGTGTGTGTGTGTGTGCGCGCTCACAGTGCCCAGGGACACCAGAATTGGGCAATGGATCCTCCAGAGCTGGAGTTTCAAACCATTGTAATTTGCCTTTTGGCTACTGGCTCTCTGCAAGAGCAACATGTGCTCTTAATAGCTAAGCCATCTCTCCAGCCCCATTACTATATTACTATATTATATTTTTTGTTTTGTTTTTTAAGACAGGGTTTTTATGTGGCTTTGGAACCTGTCCTGGAACTAACTCTTGTAGACCAGGCTGGTCTCGAACTCACAGAGATATACCTGCCTCTGCCTCCCGAGCACTGGGATTAAAGGCATGTGCCACCACTGCCTGGCTACTATTTTATGTTTACAAACAAAATGTAGTATGTGGTAGCCCACACTCATGGTCCCAACATTCTGGGTACAGGCAGAAGGCAAGAAGATGCAGAGTTTAGGGACATATTAGACTACATCTGGGTCCTTATTTAAAAACAAAACAAAAAAGCAAACAAACAAACCAAGGGGGAAAAAAGGAAGAAAAGGAAAGAGGGAGGGAAGAAAGATATAAAATGTCAAACAAGAATTGTAACAATAACAAAATAATCTTTAAAGGTTTGTTTATCTTGGGGGGACAACTTTACTTTTACTCTACTGAGATTTTTTTTTTCACATTATCTTCTAGGGTTGGGCATGTAGCTCTGCAGATTTATTAAAGCTATTGGAGATCAAAATAGCAAAGCATCCATACTAGTTAGCCATAGAAGCCAGGTACACACCTTTAATCCAAGGACTCAGGTGACAAAGGCAGATGGATCTCTCTGAGTTCAAGGCCTCCCAAGACTAAATGAGATTGAATCAGTCTAAAAGAGTGACAGAGCTCAGGCCTTTAATCCCAATACTAGAGAGGTATAAAAGATAGGAGCAGGGTCTTCAGTGGTCAGACTTAGAATTATTCTCCACCCATGCTGAGGAGAGGCAGCAGTCTGAGGCTTGATAAAGAGCTCATGGAGACAAGATCAGTCCTTTCAGCTTGAGATAGAGTTAAGAACGAGTGGTGTGGCTGCTTTGCTTTTCTGATCTTCAGTTTGAAGCTTGAATCCCAATATCTGTCTCTGGGTCTTTTATTTATCATGTTACTTAGTTCAGCAGTAGAGTGCTTAGCACACACAGGTTCTTGGGTTCAAGCCCTGGCACCACATAATGTGGGTATGGTGGTACATGTTCATAATACCAGCACTCTAGAGGCAAGAGGATCAGAGGTTCAAAGTCATCCTTCCTACATAGGGGTTCAAGGTCCTATGTTAAAAATATCTAACTTCAAAACAACATTAAAGTAGGAAACTTATTATATAAAAGTATTTTTAATGTAGATATCAACAATGCACTGTCCTTTTCTTCACCATACACATTATTTTTTTAAAGATTAAATTAGAACAGAGCCAAGATAGTATAATGAGTTGTGACAAGCCCTTGGCTGTTTGGCTCAGGTAATTATAAATGGTATTTTGAAACTGACGCAAGATCTCACAGTTGAGCCCATGAGTCATTGGTCAGGGCTGCATGGCATTTGTTGGTCAGGTTGCATAGTTACACCATCCCCCAGAAACATGAACCAAACAAAACATCTTTATTGGAACTTAGCAGCAGTCTATCAAGGAGATTCAGTTTTCAGCATTCAGGGACTAAAGAATGAGTCTGAAACTATGAGCAATATAACCTTTCTTGTCAGCCACCTGTGTTTAATCTCCGAGTGCTTCGGCTTATACAACTGTTCATTTCAGATCACAATCTCACCTCCAGTGAGGAGGCCTGACACAGGCAGTTTGTCATATTGAAGCCAATCTTCTTTCATTGGATGTGGAATTCATTGGTAGTTAGTGGAGAAAGTTCATGGACTCAAAGGTAAACATTAAAAACACAGACTCTAAACTCACTTTTGAATACTGGGCTTATTTATTTAACATTCCCAAGCTTCTGGTGTTTCCTTTTCAACTTTTATTTTATGTTTTTATTGAGCTATACATTTTCCCCACTCCCATTCTCTCCTCTCCTCCCTCCTTCTACCCTCCCCCTGCTCCCCATGCTCCCAATTTAATCGGGAGATCTTGTGTGTTTCCTCTTCCTAGGTGGATCCATGTATATCTCTCTTAGGGTCCTTTTTGTTATCTAGGTTCTCTGGGGTTCTGGCCTGTAGGTTGGTTGTCCTTTGCCTTATGTCTAACATTCACTTACGAATGAGTATATATTATACTTGTCTTTCTGGGTTTCTGGTGTTTTATTAGCAAAAGCTGGATAGCAAACCTTTTTCAACAGGGATTTGGGCATAAACTATAAAGAACTCACAGCCCACATAGCACACTGCAAAACAGACCCCAGCCAGGCTCTTAAAGCAGTGCCTTCCCCATCCCCAGACCACCCCCAAGGAATACAAGTACAGCATCCAAAGTTTTCCACTTTGTAAAAGCTGAACATTTCCAAAGCTAGAATGATCCTTCACTTCCTCTGTCAACAGGACAGAGAGCACAACTTAAACACGTACATGTATAAATATACTGCGGCTTCCTATGAAAATGTCACCTGCCAATTATCAAGAGTAATTGCACCTTAGATTAAGTAGCAGGAGGGTTTGATTAAGAGTCAAGTGGTGGCTCTGAACATGGTAATTTATGTATCCCAGTTGGACATTATCAGTTCTGCAACTCTAGTAAAAGCCAAGAGATTTCAGCTTAGGTTTGTAATTTAAATTCTTTTGAGAGAGTCATGCTATGTGAAGTGCTTATTTTTTTCTTTATCACCAACCATAATATGTGATTATGTGGTATGGGCGCTGTTATGTAAACTTGTTTTATGTAATGCTTCACCCCTAACCAAAGATCTGAAGTAAAGGGTTGGGAAAAGAAACAGTGAAGCCCCAGCCAGCACAATTTTGTGCCCTAAATCCTTTAGAGGTAAAACTAAAGAGACTAGATCATGTCTTAAACTATGTTGCAGCAAGCCACCATCACCACTGTAAATATCCACTAATGGTTGTTGAAATGAAAGGGGCAACGATAGGCACAGCACAGGGTTTGGGCAGGTGACTTGGGATGCTGGTTTTCAGGTGTTCTTGAGCACTGGGCAGACTGCTTCCTCTGATTGAAGCTAACTTTAAAGCAGGTCCCTTGGGAAAGGATCAAAAGCCAAGTGAGAGAATAATGGTGGAACTTTCAGAAGGAAGAATCTCCCTCGAGAGGTGTGTGAGCTCACTGCCAAGGGTAATTTAGAGCAGACCCTTCATCCTGGCTATGACTCAGAGCACTGCCATGTGCTGCCATTGCAGTACAGAGGGAGGTGACTGGGACAAGTTGAAATCTGGATGGAGCATAATATAGGGACAATCAGCATGGCATGGAATTTAATGGCATGGAATACTTAATCCTTTGTAAGATGCATCTTTATTTCACTAGATGCTAAGGAAAAAATACCAGCTACAGTACCACCTTATTGTAGATTAGCAAAAATAAAAGTATTAGAGACTTACTAGGAGCTCGATCTCGTCAGACCCAGAGGGGGTCTTCTCTCCTGAGAAACAGGGCAACCCAGGCTTTCCCATCACTTGAATGAGTCATCCCATTGGGTCACCAAGCTACCTGTTCTTTCCCACTCTCCTAAGGCAGCAGGCCAATGACCAATCATGTTCTCTGGTGTATACTTCCATACAGACTTAATCTGGGCATCAAATGTGAGATTTTAACGAAGTACTAAAGACTCCTTATCTTTGATTTTATTTTCTGTGGTTTAAATGAACCATTCCCTCCAAAGAGAGTACCAACCCTACATGTAATACAGAGAGGGATATTTTGAGCTTACACTCATGGACCTTGCATTATAGCACACTGTTATAACTGCTGTACTTTAGCAGAGTGTACTGGTGCATGTTTTTTATTGGAGATCTGAGGAGACAGAGGCAGATCTCTGAGTTCAGGGCTAGCATGATCTACAGAGTGAGTTTCAGGACACCAGGGCTATACAGAGAAATTCTGTCTTGAAAAAGAAAAGAAAAAAAGATGAGTTGTTTTATTAAGCTATTG